GTAGGGAAAAAATCTTTAGTTATAAACAAATGCTTTGGTCAGGCTTTTTATCTCCTTCACTAGTCAAAAATAAAGCATGCAGATATGAGTAAACTTCAAACAATGTACTGAAAATAGCTTCCATCGGGACCCCTTCTGTTTCTTTTTTTCTTAGTTTAGAAGACAAAAATACGTTATTAGAAGTCTGTATTTTAGAGGGAATTCTTTGTTCCTGAAAAGTGCCAGAATATCCCCTGCCTATGTTAAGAATTATACAAGACTTGGACTATCCACCAATTGCAAACATAGCATGTTGCTTTCCGCTCCACTGTCCCATTCACTCCCCCACTCCCCAGATATGCTGCTGGATGTAGGGCTGTGTCTGCTGTAAGGAAAACTCCCTGCATGGGGAAAGTACCATTCCACTTGCTCCTGCTCTCCAGATGCACTGTTGGATGCAGGGCTGTTCCTTTGGCCAGGCATCAGTAGCACAGGGCTGTCCCTAATGTAATGTAGACTCCCGGGGCTAGATGGGAGGAGGATTCAGGCACCCTTTCAGGGGGGAGGAGGATTCAGCCACCCCTTCATCGTTGGTGCCTTGAGCTAATGCTCCATTTGCCTCACCCTAGTGATATCACTGGGATTGGGGTCTGGTGCACTGGGTCAACTTCCTGCACCCGCTGAGAGGGACTGGGCTTTCTCAACCCTGAAACTGTCAGGTGAAGGGGTTTGTTTTGTGATCAGGCAGAGCAATAATGTTCAGCTGAATCACTGATTGTCTTTCTGTGGGAGGGACAGGGCACAGAACAAAGTACTTTTGGATACCAGAAGGCAATGAGGAGGTTTCTATCAGAGAGGTAAGTGTACAAGCATTTGTTTCTCCTGTAGACCCTCTACCAGAGGCCACTTCTCCCCATCAGAGGTGGCAGAAGTTTCAATGAGACCCACCATTTTTGGTCCAGTAGAAATTGTTTAAATGCTTGTACACTTTGAATTCCTGTCTGTGGAACTGTTGTTCCACCGGTAGAAATGTAATGCTTAATGTGCCACTGTGTGTGCACCAATGAGCTCACTGTAGTACCTTGCTAAAGTGCTCACTAGCATGGTTCTGAGATTGTGTATATGCATCCTTAGTAGCAGCTTCCCTGGTAGTTTTGTTATATGGATAAAAACAGCCAAACCACTACTCGATAGTAACACCTTGTCATCACAACAAAAATCTGTCTGCCATGAAACTCTCATAAAAATGTTATTCCTTTTTTTTTTTTTTAAGTATCTAGCTGTACTTTTCCCTATTCATAGATTTACGATATACAAAAAATGTAAGTCAGAATAGGGCAGTGAATTCAGTGATGCAGAAGTGCAAGTTATTGCTGTTTTTTTAATTGCAACTTAAAGCAATGAGTGGCAGCAAATTAAAAAATGTGGAACAAATATTATTGACCAGCTTGTAATTAGGGTAATGATTTGCTTCATTTACAAAGGGACATATATTTTGAGGCACTTTTTTTAACTTTCTGAAAGGGATGCATCACCCTAATTTGAAAAAAAAAAAGTCTGATTTAAAGCAGTAGATAATTTATATTTAATTATTATATTATATTTATAAAAGGAAGTGTGAGATTCATCTTCCAAAAAAATGTTCATAAAACTAAGGCAGTTGCACCTTCAGATTGGCTGGATTGGGCATACCTGATGCATATCTGGATGTCCAAAGTACAGGCAAAACCACAGTAATTCTGCAGTGTCTGGGTACAAACTGCATGACTCTTTTACTAAGTACGATATAAAACATTTTAAAAGGCTTTGTGGAAAGGATTTTTTTTAATTAGTCTGGAACATTCATCTGAAAAATTCGCCTGAGTTCTGTTTTTCCAAAGTGAAATGGGGCTGCCAGCTGTCCTGTTTCTCAGAGACTCCCTAGGCTTTGACCAGCTGTCAGGGACTCTCACTTTCCAGTTCACCCTTTACTTTGGAGTTCAGGGCAGTCTGATAAACTGCCAAAAGTATGAAGGTCCCTTGTCTGGAGCTAGACTCTAGAAGTGCTAAAAGCCCCTTCTCAGTTGCTGCTTCCAGGGTTACCATTTTCCCAACTGACTAGAAGGGAGCTTGGACGGGCTGGACTTCTCATGACAGGCAAGCCATAGAGCCAAAGCTCTTGGAAGTATGGCCTTACCCAGAGCCTGCCAAGTGAGCATATTCTCTTGACACATTCCTTGTGTTTAACTGAAGTTTGTCAAAATGCAAATGTTTTTGTGAATTAACAATTTATTTATTTTTTTATGAAAGAAGAAAAAAAAAGTCTGTCAGAAAATCCCCAGCCATCTCCATTTAAACTCTACCCTGTGTTGGGTGGAGCTCAGCTGGCTGTGCACAGAGGAGGAGTTCTGCCCCTGCAATGTATACTGTGCATACTTCAATAGCTACCCCAATGTGGAGTGTACTCAGTCAACCTCATTTCCTCTCTGCTTCCCCCAGTTCCCTTTGCTGCATCTTAGGACATGCCTACATGGAAGTTGGGAGGCAGGATTTCATCGTGAGTAGACACTCAAATTAGCCTTAATGTAGCTGACGAGTTAACTCAATGACCTGGAGAAGCATATTACCAACCTACTAAAGATCCTTACATATTTAGATCTGAACTGCTGTCTCTTTATTGTCACTCAGACTGTGTGAATTAACAGTAACCCAGGTGCATCTACCTGGACTGCAATCCCAACTGCTGACTGAGGTTTAGACATGTCATCAGCCCTGAAGTGTGCTTGCAGAGGCATGTGGCTTTTGATTGTACCCAGCTCATGAATACCAGGCTGAAAATCTTTCTTGTACCTCCCCCACCACGGTTTGGGAGCAACTGTATGCAATCAGGCCTTGATTCAGACTTGAAGGGAATAATTATCCCTGACCTTGCTCAGTGTGTGAGATCTTTAAAGACCAGAGTCCAAGGTTGAATGGTTGCAGCTTAAGCGGGTAGTGAATATTTAACTTTATCATTTAAAGACAGGTTACTTAACAATCTAAGCCAATCTTTTAAAGACCCCCATTTTAGGATCCCTGGTTTCTATTGACTTCCAACTATATAATTATCTTGTTTTTTTATTTACCTCCTTGTTCCCTAGCTGTCTGTTAATGGTTTGCTTCAGATTGTGTTTCTCCAGTGTTATGTTGATGTCATCCCACTGCTACACTGGCAAAACACAGGAATAACTCTGATGAATTGGGACTAATTTTTCTTAAATGATATTTTAATGGAATTTGAAGAATAAGCTTGAATAATATCAGCAAGATCAATTCCTTTCAGTAAACATGCAATAAAAATACACAGACACGATATATACCACAGTGACCCATGCTGTGAGCCGAAATCAATGCAATAACTTTACAGTCATTAATATTATAACACAAAGCAGATGCAGAAGAAATTCTAAGACAAAGAAGCAAATTATTAACAGATTGTGAACACGAAACTGCTTTATTACAAGATTAAGAACTCTTAGACATCACACAGATAAAGAAATGTCATTCTTTGCAGATAAAGAACCGAGTTAATTTTTATTTATATTACTACCTGAATTTAAGTTTAAGTTAAAGTTATCACACTATCAGTCTACTATCACTTCACTTATTATTTATGTGCAAATCTTCCTAAAAGCAGGATTTCCAGATAGCACACTAAGTATAGTCAGTGTTTAAACTACATATCAACAAACATAGGTGGCTTTACTATCATGCTTTGCTGTCATCTCTCTTTACAGCCCTGTCTGTATAGGGTTCTAGCACTTTCCCAAGCAGACATAACAAAAACCCTATAGTAAATAAATATGAGCATGTGAAGAAAAACCTTTCAGTGACATATCAAAGGACAACTAGTTTAATCATCATTTCTTTAAAAATAAAGAGAGCAAGAGAGAGAGAGAGACAAATAATATTGGTAATGCTTGCTACAGTGTTTCACCCCCTATTTTTGATTACAGTAACATTATGTATAGTTAAGTGATGTAATAGATACTGAAAAGACTGTTTTAAAATTTTGATGAACAGTCCTCATCTAGACTTGTTTATTTCAGTAGGCTGAAACAAATACCCCCAGGTCTTGGGTGTGGGACTGAGGATTTGGATCGTCCCGTTCCCCACAAATGACAGTCATTCTATGACTTTTCATCAACTTCCTCATAGTTCTCTTCTCTCCAAGTAAAGTATCACTGTTGTCCTAACAATAAAGTAGCACTAATCCCTTTGAAATAAATGGTGACTTTAAACCAAAATAAAGATAGAACTAAACACATGTACATAGGTCTACTCCAAAATGTGCATGCCAACTACATGAACATTGTGTAGATATTCTTGTAGAGCAGGTGCAACCAGTCATATTAAACTTATCTTTCAAGGCTAAATGTGTGTTTTATGATTGAAATTGTTAGTATTACTTCATTTTAACCTTGTATTGGCCTGTGGTTAAAGAATAAATGTTATAGATGTAAACGAATAACTCTTTTAATGAGATTTTTTTTAATGTAAAGTGAATAAGAAATGCAACTGGCGGAAATTTTCCATTTAAAATTATTGTTGTGATGAAAATATCTCAAATCACCTTTTTTCTAGACTGATTTTTTTCCCAGAACAAAATTCTGTTTTTTTAATATTTTCTGAGGGGTAACACATGTCAGAGAAAAGAAAGGGGGAAAGAGAGAGCGCACGAAGTGTGGCAGAGGATGAAAGCAAATAGGTTTTTTCTAAGTTTTCATTTTCTATTCATGCATTTTGTGGAAAATGTTTAACCCTTTCATAGGAAAAATGTTGAAATATTTTGTGGGAGACTATTGAAAGTTCATTTAGAAGAAAAATCTGAAAATTTAAACATCAGGCAAGGGGGTTGAGAAAAATACTGACTATTTTTTGATCAAGTAAAATTATTAGGCTTCCACACACAAACTGCTACTGAGAAATTCATTAACAAGAAATTAAGAGAATATTGAACTTGGCAATTAACCAGTTGCCAAAATGTTATCATAAGGGATATTTGCAGGTAAGGCAGTGCTCTGTTTTCCCTCACATATCTTTGTCTAATCTCAGTGGTTTTCCCTCACATAGATTTTTATCTAATCTTCATGCATTCAAAACTGTGGAGATGTTTCTGTCTGACGCCCTCCTACAGAGTGTCCTCATTTAGCAGTGTTGCACACTCAGCACTTTTGAAAATGAGTTATATACATAAAATATGAACTTGGGAACCTAACTTCACCCTCATATTGTGAAAACCTTTGAGAGGGTGCATAGGAAATTGCATAAAATTGGTTCTCTTCTGCTGTTTCTTTCCTGTGTCTGATTATAACTTTCTCTAGATATTGCACAACGGTCAAAGACCATTGTACACCACATTTCAAGGATTAAGTCCATCTAGGAATGTACAAGTCTTCAAATTGCTTAGATGGTAAGATAAATATGCAAGATTCCCTACCAAAGTTATTCTCATGCAAATACAGCAGTAATGGACAGTCAAAGAGGCTCAAGGAGATTATACCTCATACCTACAGTGATCCCACTACCCTGAATCAGTGACAGAGAGGACTCAATATATTATTGAGCTATATTGACTATTGTAACAGAGGCATAGATGAAAGTGGGACATATGGGGCAGACTGCAGCTACTCCATATCCTGGACCTAGCTTGATTGTGTGGATTTCATCTTTCTTCTTTTACACAGCCTGGATAACTAGACTTTAAACTAGTTTGATGGATTTCACTTCAGAAGTTCTGAGATTCATAATTGACAAGTTAATTACACCTTCAAGGACCCATGTACAAATGAGATTGAGGTACACTTTTGCTAGAAATGTGACTGCCTCCTATATATCA